CGCCTGTGGCGACAGCGGATTTTCTCCGCTCAAGTGGTGGAACCCTGGTGAGTCATGCTTCAAATCATGGGTTTTTAATTTGTCGTCACATCTGCCAGGGAAGATAACGCGCTTCTTGGATATTGTGCAAATCATCTCGAGTTGCATTTAGGCCTCTGAAGAAGACGATTGCGTCGAAACGTTAGGCCGTTGACTAATAAACTGTTCCACCTAACAACCTCGTACGGCACAAAATTATTTCAATCATAACCATCTTGAGTATTTAGGAAATCTTTTCGGTCAGTGGTGGCTAAGAGAAAATCTTCTTCGATTGATTTCCCCCGAGTACCTCAAGTGAGAGAGAGGGTTGTAAATAGACAATATGAAGCGTGGAAACCTTTTGCAGGCATTTATAACTTGTTTTATTATGAACTCAGACACTTATGTCAAGCCTTTGAACCCTTCATCATACCAACTGCGCCACCGTTGCACTCATATGTAAGTAGTTGCTCGGTTAGGTTATCCGTAACTTCTTTCTCAGAAGTTCTGGCAGATTCGCAGTTCTGATAAAACACCTACGACGGTATGCGTCACGCCCTGAGTGGCTGCGCTGCGCTGCGACCAAGTTCCTCCCCTTGTAAGAGCGAGGCCTCTGAGAGACGCGACTGAACGAATATGCTTAGTTTTGGTGTATTCATATCGTTTTTCTCACTTTGTCAACCAACATTGTATCGTCAGGACCTTGAGTTATTTTTTAGTATCTTCCCTCAACAAAGCGAAGTTTTTCAGGGGATGTTTCTGAAGTGATATGTAGCACTTGATCATTTTTGTCTGGGGTATCGCATACGCCACAAAAAATAAAAATTCATTTCACCACGCTTCATCTCGGCTCGAGAACAGAAGTTAACGCCACTCCCGAAGATGCGGAGTTGTGGAGGCGTTTTGACTTGAGTGAAAACTTGGTGGAATTTTGTTTTTTTTTTCAAAGAAGATTAGAATCTTGCTTGCTCTAGCTCCTGACGTCTTGCCTAGCGAATATTGAAGAAGCGCTACTGAAATAGTGCTAACAACACCACCACTTGCAAATGAATACAATCCCTTGCATCCACTCCGTGGCTTCTTCCAATACTCCTTTTGCAGCTGCTCGATTACCGCCAACAACGTCGTCTACTCATTTGACTTGTTTAAATCAAACCGCAGTCCTGGCAATGTGTGCTGCTTTCGCGATGACCATCGTGCTGAGCATCGTGCTCTTGCTGTACATCCTTCGTGACGTGTGCCGAGGGTAAGTTATGTTAGGGTCATAGAGAGAGTTTCTATCGTAAGGCACTGTTTGTACATGGATTAATCAGTTTATTATACAGTTGGCAGTTATCAAATCGAATGGAACATCACTCCACCAGCTCAGTTCTCTCTGGATGTAGTTCTAACTCAAATGACAGTATAGATCGGCGAAGTGACTTGCCGATTTTTGCCCGAAGGCTCGGTGATCCTAACTATTCGATAGCAACTCGAAATTATTAAAAAAATGAGGCTCCTCATTTCCATCTTTCTGTTGTTTTCATTTTCATCTTGCTGTTTCATCTCCTGGTCTCTACGTCACGTTTTTCACTTTGAAGTGTATTTCCATTCGAGGATATTGTTTGGCGTGATCCTTCACAACCAAATTGTCTTTGGGGTACATGTGCCACTACAAGCGACTTACACCTTATTTCCATAGTCCTAATGGCAAGAATACATTGGTTTGAAAGGCACAGTTTCCGATGAAAGTGGTTTCTGATACCTCCCTATTGTCTGAATTCGAGGCTCCCTCTTATACCATACCTGTAGTTGTAAGGGCGAAAAACGTCGGGGTTAGGCCACAATAAGGAACCAGGGATTGTATTGCGTGAATGCCACACCCCCTAGTGGACGAGTCTCAACGGCTTTGTAGAGGCTGCACCATTAATAAGGGAACGAATGTAGGAAGTTCAAACACCTTGTCATGACCCATAGAGACATTGAAAGGCAATTCTGGACAGTTATGGTTTGATGTAGCCAGCTCTTTGCACGATGGAATCAAGTTAAGTCTCGTCCAAAAACCCCTTACGTACATAGCATTCCTGCCGCTGTGATCTCGTACAACCTCCACTTCCACTACTTTTAAGAAGCTTGAAGTATGTAGGCGGGTTCTCTCGCTTCCTTCGCCACCAATGTACTCCTGTACATCAACACTTCCGCTTTTCAACCTAAAAAGGGTACCTCAAAATTATCGTGAACTGTGCCTTTGAAATATTTGGTAGTGACTACGCGGAACTAGGGAGGGAAGACCTGTTAATCGCATAGCATCTTTTATATGTATTTTCCGTCATCTCGTTTGGTCTCACAGCTATTCTCCGCCAAATCAGAAGAAGTTTCCGTGGGAGACTCAATGGTACTATTAGCTATTCCCATTAATGGGTTCAAGCTATCCATTATGCATTTAGCAGGGATTAAAGCTGACTATTACCAGCCATACCAAATGTTCTCGCCCAATCGTAAGTGTGAATCTACCGCCTGAGAAACTGCGCCAGTCTCTCAGTCTTTCACCCACAGAGTGCCAGTGCTTTTCAGGACTCGCATTTGAGCTTTTTACATGCTTGTATCTGTTTTTTGATTCCATCCATACCTCCTACAGTATTTTCTTAATTAATAATTATTGAATGCCTGAGAACTCGCTAGTCGTGTTGCAACCATTTTATGGTCTATTTTCATATGTAATAGTTCTATTATTGATTCCATTATTAACCGGTCTTTAGTTGCTTATCCATGTAATTATGTGTTGTATACAACTTTTTTATAAAATGAAATGCGTCATGCTGTTCTGTTTCGTTGGGTTGGGCTGAGAGATGCAGTGACCCTTGTGCAGGCTGTATGGGCCCGGGTACTCCGCTTATTCTCGTATACCCAAATATGCCACTTCAAAGGCGCAAGAACTGTGGACGCCTTTGTTGTTTTGTCATTTTGATGGGATACTCTCGGCAGAAAGCCTGAAAAAACCATCAAAGTACGGTTTGCGACGGAAGTGATTTCGGAGATTTCTTGTTGGTATGAAATTATGACTTTCCCAAAATGGTCATGGTATTATCGGATCAAAAAACAGTGTAAATTGTTTGCGGCAATAGTTCACTCGAAAACGGGTGCCGGCTTCCATTGCCGTTCATTCCATATAAGAGAAGGCGTTTATACTGATCTTTTGGAGTCACAATCGAGATGGAGCACACTTATTGTTAATGCAGCAACTAGATGCTGCTACTAGATAACATAAGTTGTCCTACAGCGACAGCAATTTTGTCCAAACTCCCATTTCGTCATCAAAACTTCGTCTAACTCTTGAATGATTGCTTCAAAATAGGCCTTATAAGTTGGGACTCTACGTTTAATCTTGTTTTCTTCGCAACAGATGAACTATTTTGCATCAAGCCTTTTCCCTGCAACTCCAAAAGAACAGGTGAAGTTGTCGCAAACTGTGTCTTCAAGGTAAACGTTGGTTTTTAATAACTGACCCACGTTGTCCTCTTCTTGCTCTTCCTGCCCCGATTTCCTCATTTCTGGCTAGCGTCAGAGCGCCATGAGCCTCACAGCTGTTCGGTGTGCCTTTCCTTTGAACGTCCTGGAGCACCGTCGACCGCTTTACCAGTGAAATGCTCCCATCTGAGTAATGCCGCTTTGTTCCGCCCTTTCAGCTTGGTCCATGTTATCTATAGCGATTAGTTCACTTCTTAATTATCGGAGACTCTGAACTCTTACGGTGAAATCCCCTCTGCAATCTGCGGTTGACTTCGTGCAGCTCTTGGGCTAAGGAAATTTGAATTCCTAGCGTCTGACCACCAATCACATCCTGGCACTCTACAGCTGCTCCGCGGGAAAGGAAATTTAGAAGATAAGCTAAAGCAAATTGGAGAAACAAACGGAAGTGGAACACGTACTTGTAAGAAACAATCTTTCCCATAAATTGAATAGGAGCTTCTAGGAGTGGCTCACCTTTGCAGTTTCACGCAAGCTCATTAGGATCACCTAAAAGAACATATTTTCGTGATTATTGTCTAGCTGTTAACTAGAATTACTGACAGTGTTCAAATGAAACAGCGCGAACAGTTTCGGAGGAATGATGTGTATTTCAATTCCAATACTATGAGAAACAGGGCAGTAGCCCACCAGGCTACACCTGTGGGACTTTCCTATGATTTAGCTTGCTTCAGTTTAGTTGCTTTCGTTTGTTTGGTTTACAGAATGAAGGATGGCTAAGAAAATGAAACTGAACAATCCTCGCCTGATGCTTTGCAAATTTCAGCGTACACTAGGAGGATCTATTGGACATAAAACATATCACGTGGAGCACTTTTGACTGAACATCAGCGAAGAGAACTCTTTATTATCAGAGAAAAGCAAAGGGGATCTTAGGTCTAATAAACACAAAACTTCAGCTATAGAGCGTTTCCTGTAGTGAAGAAGAGTTGACAACACTATGGCGAGTTCATCTGACGAATTGAAGGAGGGCGTGGTGGAAGTGCACCATGTTCAACAGAAGCAACTTCTGGGACGTCTTCCTGGCTCTGGTTTCCGCTCTCATCACTTCCATCATCCACTTTCACTTTATCCTTGTTTCCTCCGAACCAGCCGAAAGGCCACTAAATTTTGATGAAGCAGAAAAATTGTCACTAATATTGTAAGTTTCACTCATGAGCTGCATGAGTAATGTGCTTTGGGCAAAATTGCAAGTTGGTTAAAACTTTATAGGAATTTAACGAATATACCGAACCTCTCATAGATGACATTCCATTAGGGGACCTAATGAATAACCGTAGAGTGGAATTTTTTTCTAATTTATCGACTATCGTGTAAACCATAAGTGCCCGGAATTATTCTAAGAATCTTCAGTAATTTTGAAGGATCACCATTAACTACAGCTGTACAGATATCAGCGGAATGTTACTCGCATGGAAAAATGGGAGCAGGTCTACAGCAGCTCTTCACAAAGCACAAGGATAGATTTGGTTTCTGTGGATCTTACATTCTGAATAGGTTGAGGATTTACAATTCAGTAGTGATCGGAAAATGACATCGGAAACTAGTTTCAATGTCCCGATCATTACTGAATTATGAGTTCTCGGTTGAAACCCTCGAATACTGCCCTTCAAAAATTAGATTTCAAATGGTTTTTCATACGCTTCCAGAAAGCCAAACTTACTAGGCTGGCCAAGCCTTCTTACGCATCCAGAAAGCCAAGCTTCATTCTTTTGTCGATATTTAGAATGAAGCTCGGCTTTTTGGCTGTTTAGGAGCCAAAAAAGCTTACGTTGAAGGCGTCCACAGTAACAAGTACGAGCAGAAGCAGCGCGAATTGTTTAGCCATTTTGAGAAGAATGGGATGATCAAATGCCAGACAAGGGGTTTTATTCATGAAATGTTTGTGCAGCTGAGCGGGTCGCAGAGAATGCGAACTGAACAATCACAGAAAAATCCATTGGTTGCGAAAAGTTTCGAAAAAAAAGGCTTTGGAAATAGATACATGTAAAATATGCTACCTAGTTGATACAGTTCCTTACACAACTAGTCAGGTTGAACAGCCCGAAACTGATGTAACTTCCAATTAGTATTATAACTACAATGTGGAGACAGCCTTCGAAGCATTCACATACTATAATATTGTGGGAATACCTTGTCGTTGTCGTCTTTACGCACATCGTATAACATAACATAATGAACGGACTAAAAAGCGAGAAAAACAAGATGACAAAGGAATAGATAGAAAAAGAAGGATCAAGTAGTGTCTCCAGCATGCCAGATATCCCATGCCCTCAATATTTATTCATTTATTTATTTATTTGTCAGAAACAAAATCACAGCAAGAAACACACAAAAACGCACAGCTGGATATATATTTAATATAGATATCCGCTTCATTGGAGCACTTTACTATGACAATCATTAAATAGTCGTTCAAATTAATGCCAGAAGCGGCAGGAGAAATATTGTAGTTCTTTCTTTAAAACACAACTCATAGAAGAGCGAAGGGCTCACTAGAGTTGAATTGGGGGCAAATAATTTCTACAAATAGAGGCTGTTAGCATTAGCAATTAACCGAAGAACCTTGTTAAGGGCGAATACGATATTGTGACTTATTGAATTACTAATGGGAACATTGTCATACGGGACCCACTCGCAATGCGCCACAGTCTGGAAGTTCAGAGGTGCTCGTATGTTCTGATCCAAAACAATCACGAGTGGATGGCATGGTCATTGTTGATAGCAGCTATTGAAGCAACAGTACCCAAACAAGAAAATTTAAATTTGTGAAGAAACTTTTGCATCGATGATACTTGAAACTACTCAAAAGCTGCTTTCTAGGAGAGCTAGATTTCCATATACGTCGTTTGCAAATTGGAGGGCTATCTAAACAGGAACCCAACGGCAAGCGGCAGTGCTTACACGGCCATTACCACAAAAGTCAAAAAGTGTGGTTAGTACAACTGAGTAAAGCCCAACCTACGCTATGTTCAGTACTTTTCTTCTTAACATTTACCCTTTTGTGGCTTATCTGCCGACGCCTCCTTACGGCCTCTTTGAACGCATATGTGTTGAGCAGAAAAACGCTCATGACATGTGAGGAGCTCATAAAGTGTGTCGTGTATGTATGCGTGTGTTGTGTGTTTGTGTGTGTATGTGTGTGTGTGCGTGTGTGTGTGCGCGCGCGGTCGGGATTTTATACCTCGTGCACTTCTCTGCCAGAGCGTCAAAATATGGAAGGGACCGGAGGGAAAAGAGCAAGGCGTCAGTTGGTGATCCGACTGGCGACTATATTTTACTCCTTATGCACAAGTTCCATGTTCTATAGAAGGGATCTAAATAAGTCGTGTAAAGGCATCCCAACTCAACACCCTATTTCCGTATGTTCGATTTTGTAGAGGTGGTACTTTGAAGAGTACTTTTGATCTGTACCCAATGAGTCATCAAACTACCGGACTACTGTATAAAATTTCGCCTTCGCTATGGTACCACTTTCTGCTCAGTCTTGAGCATTTCAGAAGAGATGCCTGCTTCCTTGCTCATGGACCAGCCATTGGAGTTTTCAATTTAAGGTTTCCTAGCTTCTTGGATGCCTCCTTGCCCCTTTGTCTCTTTCATTCTTGGGTGGTCAAGCAGCTCTCAGGCAGCCCTTCACTGTGTTATCCAACACCTCAACTCCAATTCCCAAGTGTTATAGAGAAAGTCGCCAGGTTTCTTACGTCGGTACCATGAAATTTCTGCCGAATAACGATTAATATCGCTACTTAAAAGACTTTAGTTGTTTTTGAAAGCCTTACAATGATATTCGCTGGCGTCAAATCGTGTGTTCGATGAAGCTGTACATCATGGCTCGATCATGCACACCCACTGCATATTCTCTAGTGTTGGCTTCACGATCGATTTCAAAAATTCCGAGTTTGCTGGAGCGTACCTCCAATCGGGGACACCGAATCCCGACAAATAAGCATGATCACTTTTTTGAAAAAGTGAAAACATTAAAGGGAACGGACGTTTTGCAATGTTTGCACTGGAAATTCGTTTTTTTGAACGATATTTCCCGATCTGTATGGTGATATTATTATGCTATGTCATGATGAATTCTGAAAGATTAGATTTGCTAGAGAGCTTCACAAGAAACGGCGTCGAGCGACTTTTGCATACGATCAGGTCCCGATCGGTTCTACATAATGAGTTTTTCCTGTTCAATTTTATAAATCGGATCATACCGGAAGAGACCTTTCATACTACTTAGGTCCAGAAGTATTCTAGTGTAGGAATGGTTGACCTTGTCGTCTTTTGCGCACATCGTATGCCACTTAGATATGGTCTGAAAAACGGCAATCGTAAGTATATCGTAGAGTAACATTGGCTTAGCTATGTATCTACTAGTCAAGTCAATACTGGTAGCAAATGATATCGTGTGCGAATGGATGCCTAGAACCAGTGCGCGGCGACTTTTTTGGTAGCTAAAGCATTGCTGAGCATCCATGGCAGTTGATTGGCTGTACTTCGGGATCCGCGATCTTCTCCAGGTATAAAAGGCGGCGCAAAGTCGTTGTACAGGCCCCCTTGCACGATCTCCACTACGTCATGGTAAGTGTCAAGGAAGCGCTGTGCTTTTTTTTTTCATGGTGACTTACATATGAAACGATTCGCTTTTCCCTTACTCAGAATCCTATCATTCTTCAATATTATCGGATGGCTTAATAGGACTCCTCAATAGCATTTCCCTGCCCTTCTCGTTATTGTCGTGTACGTTCTTTCAAAGTCGATATGCTACACTGAGTTCTGAGCGAGTATGGATCAGAAATGCCGTATAGTAAACTAGATTTCATAGGCGAGGGAGCCGGCGTGGGTAGACGAGCTAGTCTTTTATGATACTCTGAGGTGCCATTCTGTTACTAGTCCTAACCGCTTTAAATTGCTTGATGTCTCTGGTCTGAGAGAAAAAAAGGCATTTGGGAGGAAGATTGGTAAAGGCTCGCCTTGAAACCTTTTGTTTGCTACATTCTGATCTCAGACAGCGCTTAGCAGTGCTTTGACTACTCGAGCAACCCTACGAAACCTCACTTCTGGAGCGCTCTCACACGGCATCGTTAGGTGATGTAAGAAGAATGTTCTTGAGCAAGATAATTTAAGTCTTTGAGCCTGGAGAAAATATAATATCTCTATTCTGTTCTACTTGCCATGGGGATACTACAGAACTCGTCACTTCTAAATATCAAGCTCCTTCTCAACTACGTAGGGATGTAAGAGTTGAGAGGTGAGGCAGTGGTGTTTTTTGGCTCAATTAGGAATATATGCCCAATCCGACACGACACAGACACGGTGTATTGTCAGTGGTTGTTGCTCAACTAGAACCTGTACTCCTGAAACCTAGAGCATTTGTTCATATCAGCATGTATTTTTTGAATGTTTTTTATACCCCGTATAAGGAAATGGAAATTTCGAGTGACTCATATGATGGTGTAAATGATATAGCTATGATTACTGTAGTCATTACCACTTCTATTTCCGCTATTCATCCCAAACCTTTTCTGATTAACTGTCGAGACTCTGAGTTGCTTACAATCGAATTCGAAATATTATTCTCGGACTTCCTCTCCGCAGCAGTTCTCCTTGAAAATGTTATAGTGAAGATTAAGTTTGTAGGCAGTCACTTTCGACAAACCCATATGCAGCTGCCATTTATCTAGCCCACTTGGCTTTCCCAGCTTTCCCATTTAATCCCCCCATGGAATCTTCTTCTACATTAGAGGTTTGTGCGAAGTTGCCGCTTAAACTCCCGTTCAATAAGAGATTTTGGTTGAGATGAAAGGCTGCTGTATATGATGGCTGGATAATCAGCTCAGCTTGATAATTTTTTGCGATACCTGGATATGCATCATTTAAATCTAACACATGCCAATACAACAATTGAAAAACCACTGGAATTGTTAAGTGTGATGTCACGGAAAGTGGCCTCGTCACTTTGCTTTCCACCTACTCGATATGCATCACTTCTGGTGATGCTTTTGCAAGCATTTCGGATTGTTGTCATGTCTTCTCCTCGAATAGTCAAATAAATTTCCCTGTCCCAGAGTCTACTCTCGACCTTTGTTGCTGATTATCCAAGCCTTGTTAGATCCAGAATGAGATGAAGCTTCGATGGCTATTGTCCTATAATACCCTACAAGCAGAAGAATTTTTTTAAAGAATTTCTGTCAGAGTATCTCAATCATATGTGTTGATGGAACAGCAAACAATCCATGATTTATGCACGTATCAGGATGAGCTATGGTCAGAGAGGGCTTGAAGCTGCATGGGTCTTCACAGGAGCGCCTAAGGTTGTCGCATAACCAAACTTATTTCTGACTTGAGGCAACTAGGTAAAAGGGGAGTGTACCGGTTTGGGGGTCCGGGAACTTCTCCCCTAACACGACGTCGCACACGCCGCACCCGCCGCCTATCACAGGATTGCGATGGAAGGTTGGAGCGCGCAATTTGTAAGGTAGGGAGTCCTTTAATTATTTGAATTGGCTGGCCGCTCTTTTCAATTCCAATGCGGTCTTGATCGTCGTTTATATAGGAGGAGTCACTTTAATCAATCAAGTCTATTAAACATGAAAACTAAAAAGAAACAGAAGAAAAAACGATAAAATCCAATGAAAAAGCAAGCCAGTCAAGGAAAAATATCGCGTCCCATCGATTGGCGGGAGGTACGGTAATTGCAGTGACATTTGCCGCATGTCGCAAGGAAGAATGCCGCGATAGGGGAGAAGTTCCGTTACCCCCGGTTTGGTAGACCTTCTCAGCTCATGTGAACGAAATATTTGATATGGATGATGTGATTAATGTAAAATGACATTAATATCATATGAAAATTCTTTCACGGCCCACTAAAGCTAAGCACAAGTTATTGTAATTTGGTCAGGCAATTATAGGGGATCACACTCGCGAAGTGCTCATCGCAAAATGGGGCCCAGACTAGATGCAAAAAAGTTGCCGAACCGGGTGTCCCATTCCAATCCGATGGCCATGAAGCACGTCACTTCAAAGAGTACGGAACAGAAGAGGGAATTAGAGAAGAAGTAGGTAGTGGGATCCAGGCAATTGAGGGAATGTCCTTCCAGGTGCGGAATGGGCATTACATTTTTAATTTTGTGAAAATGACAAAAAACCTGTGTCCAGTAATTTCAGGGTGATAATGTTGAGGTTCGGAATCCACACATTGAGAAGTGGTCTTCTTTTGTAGATCAGAAAACTCTTTTCCTTTCACCAACTGTTTCAGATAGTCGTCAAACTGCTCGTTTTCCTCCTACATGCAAAGCTCACCTCAGCGTGTTTCGGTGTCAGTAGCAGCGTGTGTTGTACAATGATGTCGTGTATACCAGCAGTGCCAAGATGTGCAAGGTTATCAAGTTTTAAAAGAGCTCTTGTAGTCTTGACAGCTCTTTTTTTCACAGATGAGTGCTATTGTGGGTCTGTAGGGTCCCATTTTCTGATAAGCATTGATGCTACCTTGTGTGTACTGTGACTCGAAAATATCGATTTAAAAAAATCAGTTCACAAATAACAGGAAGTCTCCAAGGAAAAAGTACTTGCAGCCAATCTTTCAGGTCAAGCATGATGGGTGGCTACCCCGTCGTACCTTCCGTCGGCGCGTTTGCTGCTGGTCCTTCGTCTTATGCAGCTCCTCCTTCCTATCCAGCTCCTTCACCCTACGCTGTACCCCCTCCTCCTCCTCCTCCTCCTCCACCACCACCTCCTCCTCCTCCCCCTCCTCCGCCTCCTCCTTTCCAAACATATAAAGCTCCTCCTGCACCTTCGTACCAAGCCTTACCCAGATACCGAGCAGCTCCTCCTGGTCTTCCCTCATACCAACCTGAGCCATCATCTCAGCCGTATAAAGGGCCTGCACCGTATCAGGCCGCTTCAAGTAGCGGCTTTCAACAGGAACAGCCAATCGAAACCGAAGAAGCTGCTCAGGCTTTACCTAAAGCGTCAACATACGTTCCAGCGGCAACTATGTTGAATAGGGACGAGGAAGAGGTAAGATTTGGAAGATATCATATAGAGAACGTACAACAATGCCATTCGTTTTAGATAAAGCAGATCGCAGATCGTGAATCTGTTGCGGTGGCTAATGAAGGCGTCAAGGTATGGTTCATCAGATAAGCATAGACCATTTCTCAAGTGGCACACTTTTGTCGTAGAGGTACATATCAGATTACTTCTATAGGCATAATTCGCTCATGACTGCAGCTAAGATTGGTGATGGGAACACTTATCATGGGCCCATGATAAGGGTTCCCATTCCGCCGCCGTGCTTTACAAAATTTCGCACTTGCCCTTTGTAGCTGAAGAATGGATTTGGATATTTGATTACTATCTGCTTGTTTTAGTTACCCGACTCTCACACACCGACCACAGTCGTGCTGATCGATGGAGGAGAAGATCTGAGTAAATGATGCCTAATTGGTCTCCCTCGACTACTCTCTATCCTGTTTATGTTGTAAATAATGTCCAATGAATATCAAAACAGGAGTGTATGTCAGAATTTCATTACATCTCTATCACAACTAATGAGTTCAGTCTGAATTTTGGTTTTAACTTAATTCTCAGCTTATGAGTGCACAAGAGTATGTGATTGGCTGATTTCATAGTCCGCCGGCAGGTCGGCGTGCCGGCGTGCCGGTCGAGGTGGTGCTAAGAGGGGAGAGAGGCAGACTGGACCATTCGACGCGGTCGCGTCGCGCCTAAACACCTTCGAAGGGGTGAAAACAAAGAAAAACAAGATCAAAACACATTGCCTTTGCCTTCGAAGGGGCTTGAGCGCGACGCGACCGCGTCGAAAGTTCCTATCTACCTCCTTACCTCTCTTGGCACTACCTCGGCCGGCGGACTATGAAAGCAGATTCCATAGTGGTAGGTAGTACATTGAGTCATCCCATGAGTTTTTTTCTTTTGTGCTTTGTGCTTGTCCATGCGAAAGTGCGAAGGCTATGTACAATAAGGAGGATATACGGTCTGAACGTTGTATAGCAGCCCTTTACGCATAGGCTCGTCTCCCAATAACTCAAAATTTCTGTGATTCATGGCTGTAAAACAATTTGATGCTACTTCAACCTCTCATGATACATTTTCCTTAAACAGTATACAACTGCATAGTCCTTGAGAGGTTACACTAGAAGAAAGACAAAAATACTCAAATTGAGTTTGTGTAGAGTGTGGAAGATGTTACGCGAAATTTCGGTAAAAGGGTCATGTCTAGTCACAGAAGAAGAAGAAGCTATCCATAAAGCTTACAACTTGGTACAAAAAATGCGTATCCTGCATCTGTGTTGGAAACGATACTGATGTCGTTTAACTTCGCGTTCGGTGTAATTTGTTGTCGGATGTTATCACGACGACCTTCCCTTTCGGTTTTCGTTTTCCAACATTGGTGACGTGACTATGAATAAAGTTTATAGTCTCTTGTGAAGTACTTCGTTTTTATTTATTTATTTATTGATTGCACATGCGTGCGCCAATGAACAGGAACCACTAATACAGATTGAGAAAAAGAAACATTCAAACAGAAAAAAAAGAAAGAACAGAAACAGAAAACAGAAAAAAAGAAAAAGGATACAGAAAAAAATTAGAAAGCAATAGCATGGAAGAAGAAATGAATGTGACAATAAAACGCTTTCGCAGATACACTTTCAAGGCCAATGCCCGAACTATGGAGAAATCATTCGAGAAGAAGAGACCTTGAGCCAGGAGTGCCAATTCATTCATGCCCCAAGCATAGT